TGCAGGGATATTTTAGGAATATAAGTCGATTATACACTCGGCTGAATAGAGACGCTTCGTTTCATAACGTTCCCATTCAGACCTTTATTTTGAGCTTAAGCTCAGTGTAGCCTGCCATCCAAACACACGTACTTCAATAATTATTGGCTGAATTTTCAAAATTCAAGCTCATTATTAGCTGAAATGGTGTGCCAAACATAACCTAACTATAGTGTAGATCCGCCCCTGAGACTTAGAGTCAACCATCTTATACAAAAGCAACATGATTCGCTAAACCTGAAACGGGCAAATTTAGGCCTAAAACGATCGAAACCGAAACTCTGCCTATCAAAAGAACTCCAAAAATCCAAATATTCAAATCAAATATACTTGAACTGAAACAGAAACAATTGCAACTAAAGAGAAAATATTACTGAAATGAAATCTGTCCACAGAACTCTTCCTGGTATGGAGGCGGTTCCGGAAGAGGACGAGCTCTTGCAATATATATGGGTGAAGACCAACTCAACCACCGTCGAAATGACTGCCCAATGCTTCACGATCAAGCCTTGATACAATCTTCTAGCTGCACCTCATTCATCCGTCAACACTATCTCCTCAAACGTAGTTGCAATCCCATGTATTAGAACACTTAAAATCAATATACTCTGCCGCTCCAACCCCATGTTGATAGGGGCGGCGGAAATCCCAACCTCTACAAAGAGGGGAAACAGCCGCTAGGGTTTCTCTCTAGACTCTTTCTGCCAATTTGAAATGTACAATATGTACTTTTCATTTCTTATATATAAATTTTAAAGTACCTAATATATTCAAAACATTAACTTTGGGCACACGTATAATATAATCTATTAAAGATATTTGAGGCCACACAGTAGCTTAACCGGCACCGGTTCGGCCCTATGGTCGACGTCGGTTAGACTTTTGTCCCAAGTCAACGGCCCGGTGACCCCCGAGGAGCGCTCCATCCGGTCCCTACGTGTAGATTTGTCAGATCCAGTCCTTAAAGAATTTCTCCAATTTTCAGCAAATCAACTGCAAATGAATGAACGCTATTAAAGGGATTCTTTTAATAGATTAACGGGGTTTTATATCGAAGATTGACATTCATATAATTGATCTTGTCGGCTATAGGTTCAAGCTAGTATGTTGATCCCCACACCTTTATGTAATTTTTTATGTTAAACAGCTTTAAACCAGCTCTGGTTTACATATTTGTCTTATAAGCAGGGATGAAATTAGGGTCAGGGACGACCGCATGCTTACACTTATAAGCAGGGATGTAACATACATGCATAGTATTTTTATAAAAAATTAGGGCCTGTTTACTAACAGAGATATTTTCCGGTTTTCTACTTCTGTTTTTTGTTCTCCGATTTTCTGTTTTTATTTTTCAATTTTTCTATCTCCAATTTTCTGTTTCTATTTTTTAGTTTTCCATTTTCAAATCTAAAAATATGTTCATCAATTTTTTCACCCAGTTCTCCAATTCCACACCCTTGACCCTTACCCCTACCCTTATCACGATCTTACACTTTACCCATACTCCCTCACAACCCTTCATACCCACCCATACCTACTCGTAGGTGTCGGGGGTAGCGGGTGGGGGTGGGGTAAGGGGTATGGTCGGGGTGGGGGTGGTAAGGTCTAGGGGTAGGGGGTTGGGTGGGGGTAGTGGGGTTAGGATCATGGTTAGGTACTTAGGGATAAGGGTGAGGTAGGGTTTGGGTAAGGTAGGGGTAGGAGTTGGGATAGGATGGCGGTAGGGTGGGGCCGGGGACCAGGGTTCGAGGTAAGGAAGGGGTAGGGGGTAGGATGGCGGTAAGGGTGGGGGTAGTGGATAGGGTTGGGGTTGGGGTAAGGTAGGGGTAGGGTAGGGTAGGGAGTTGGGATAGGATGGCGGTAGGGTAGGGTGGATCGGGGTGGGGCCGAGGTAGGGGCATGTGGTAGGGGGTAGGGTAGGGTCATTATAGGGAAAATGGGTACGCGGGGTGGGGGTTGGGTGGGTATGGTAGGGTAGGGGTAAGGGGTAAGGTACGAGGATGGATGTACCGGAATGGAATCGACATCGGAGCGGGACCGGACCCACTGTAGGATCTGCGTTTTTCAAATTTGCAAAACTAGTAAAAGTCACTTCTCCAAATCATCAAGGAAAAGAGAGGCATGTCTCATTTTTTTCGTTTTGGAAAACAATTTGGTAAACGTGTTTTTCTTTTTTCCTTTCTCTATTTTTCCAGGAATTTCTTTGGTAAACACATTTTCTGTTTTCTGTTTTCCAGTTTTCCAGTTTTCTGGAAAACTGGAAAATATCTCTGTTAGTAAACAGACCCTTAGGTTTTTGCTAAATATACAAATGTCGCCTCTTAGTTTTTAGTTTTTTAAACCCTTTGATAATTATAAAGACTTATATTGTCCTTAATAATTCAATCTTTGCACCTCATCTTCATTCATTGGTTCCTGACCAATTGATGACCTACTATTCCAAGTTATTTTCTTATCTTTGTAAAACATTATACCATAAATCTCACATTTCACAATTAATAAGGGTGTTTTGTTTGCCATTCCTTCTCTTGTTTTGCTTTGCCTAACAATTATTTTCTTTCATAGCAGGGGAAAACACGCTTTTGATCTTAAATTCATACTCAAATTATCTCGTATTTTTGTTTTTGTAAATGTGATCCCTATACTAAGCCGTGTTAAAGGAATTCGGCCGGATAAACCTGCAAAAAATCATTAGAAAAATAATATAGCTCGAGTCGCGTAAACGTTGTCCTCAAGAAAGTATTTCCGACTAGCGAAAACCTTTCCCCAAGATAAAACGAGCTCTTCGGCGTAAGCCGGTAACGGAACAACGAGAGTGTAAAATATATTAATCCAGCAGAATGAAATTGTTAGGGATGTTTAGCTCAAAATTATATGTGCTCCAATTGCTAGCCGAACACACATATATGCATGTGTGTGTGTGTGTGTGTGTATATATATATATACAGTGTTCTAAAAGGCGCTAGGCGCTAGTCGGGCGGTGACTGGCCGCCTAGCGCCTAGCCCGCCTAGGCGCCGACTAGGGCGCCTAGGTATTTTCCTTTATTTCTTTTTTTTTTTATTTTCATTGAAATTTAAAAATATTACCAATAATTTTATATATTATTTTGAAAATAGAAATAGCTCATATAATCATTAGATATTATGGTTTATGTATAAAAATTATAAATAATAAAATAATTAATAGATAAATGTAGATATTTATATATTTTTAGTCTCCAAAAATGTATATATACACTCTAAAAAGTTATAAATATGTCAAAATTATTTTTTGTCGTAGTAATATGAAGCTAAACTATATAGAAATAGAATACTTATTGATCAAACGTGGTTTTAAGTCAAAACGGGGGAAAAAAGTTGAATCGGGGAAAAAATGAATCCGGACCGCCTAGCCACCGCCTAGCCCGCCCAGGAGCCCGCCTAGCCGCCTAGGCGGCCGCCTAGCCCGCCTAGGCGCCCCGACCGATTTTTTTGACCGATTACACCGAAATCGGGGCGCCTGGCCACCGCCTAGCGACTAGGCGGCGCCTAGCCCGATTTTTAGATCCATGTATATACACACACACACACACACACACACACACACACACACACCACTATTCAGGTCCGGCCAGGCCGGACCACTCCCCCCGTCCGGCCTCCTCCATTTGGGGGTCTTTCCGGTGGTATTTTTTGCTCAAATTTTTTGTGTAGGTTCCTCATCAAGTCTATTTTGTCCATACCAAATTTCAGCTCAAATTTCGATCGGAAAGGTCGTCAAATGATTTTTGCAAGTTAACTGGTCCGGAAAATACATATTCCGGACCAGTTAACTTGCAAAAATCATTTGACGACCTTCCCGATTGAATTTTTGGCTGAAATTTGGTATGGATGAACTACGCTTGATGAGCAACCTACACAAAAAATTTGAGCAAAAAATACCACCGGGAAGGCCCCCAAATGGAGGAGGCCGTACGGGGCTCCGGTCAGGTATACCTGACCGGAAGAGTACTATATATATATATATATATATATATATATATATATATATATATATATATATATATATATATATATATATATATATATATGAGTGCTATTCCAGTCAGGAAATTCCTGACCGGAGCCCCGTCCGGCCTCCTCCATTTGGGGGCCTTCCCGGTGGTATTTTTTGCTCAAATTTTTTGTGTATGTTCCTCATCAAGGCTAGTTCATCCATACCAAATTTCAGCAAAAAATTCAATCGGGAAGATGGTCAAATGATTTTTGCAAGTTAACTGGTCCGGAAAATAAATGTATTTGATTGTTATTAGGAAAAATTGAAAATAATAATCCCAACTATTGCCGGTCCGCTAACAATAATCCCAACTATTGATTATTTTTGTATAATCCCAACTATATGAACCATCCGCCAATAATGGTCCATGACCAAATATTACCTTCTATAAAAAAGATTTTTAAATAGAAATTAAACGTAAAAATTAAAAGTTGAGATTATTTATAGAGATCACTTGCGATATCTCTTCTCATCCACTTCAGAAAGTACATGAATTTATTTACAGGGACTGTTATTGGCGGAAGGACCCTAAAGTTGGGATTATTCTGAAATAATCGATAGTTGGGATTATTATAAGCGGACTGCCAATAGTTGAGATTATTACAATCAATTTTTCCTTGTTATTATTAAAAGAGGATAAATTAATCCTTCAGGAAAGTAAACCTACGGTTACCAGCTAAGCCTATTAATGCTCAAAAGGCTATAGACTTTTACAAGATTAATTAAAGAGTTCAAAAAAAATGTTATTGAAGCAAGTAAATCATTATTCATTTGAAATACTCCTATACTAGTATTCTACCCGTGCGATGCACGGGAAATAATTACATTCAAAGATGTATGGTATAAGATATAAAAAAAATAGTGACACAACTTCAAAATTTTAGTAACATTTTGTACATACATAAGAGTACGATGGAAGTAGTAATATCAATATAAATACAAATGAACATTTATAGAACCTGAAAACAAATTGTCTTACAAATTTCGGAATATTTTCTTAAATACAACGTTCATCGTTACATTGGTACTTTTCCCATCTGTGTCACATATAGCTATTTTCAAACCAGTGGGATTAGTGACACGTGAAAGCGCAACGTATAACTGACCATGACTAAAAACAGGTTTTTTTAAGACTAATCCAACATTGGACAATGATTGTCCTTGACTCTTATTTATCGTCATGGCATATGAGACGATCAAAGGAAATTGTCTTCTTTCAAACTTGAAAGGCAATCTCACATCAGATGGAGTCAAAGACATTCTCGGTATCAAAACCTTCTCACCTGCACTCAATCCTGTCAAAACTTTTGCTTCCAAAATATGCTTACCTAATCTGGTAATAACCATCCTGGTCCCATTACACAACCCTTGAGAATGATCAAGGTTCCGCATTAGCATCACCGGTGTTCCAACTTTAAGATGCAGTTCATGATTTGGAACTCCTGAAACTTTAATACCATTCAAAAATTCTGGAGTATGGATGTTGGCTAAAAAGTCAGGATTTGAATCTGATTTACACGGGCTGTTAGAACTAAGGTAGGTTTTCATCTCAGAACCATTTAAGGAAAGCATGTAATCATTGATGCTGTCAACAACTTGGAGGGTGGGGGCCAATATTGCTCTATTTTTTAAATAGTTGGGATCTTCATGAACGGAATCAAAGGAAGGATAAATACAATCAACCATTTTTGCTATAGGATCGTCAAAATCTTTTAATAAAAATTCATCTGGAATCTCAATCTCCACAAAACCATCATTTGGTCCTCCAATGGTGCCATCACCAATGCTTGCAATCCATTCGGAAAACTTTACCAAATATTCTGTTTGATCGTTAGCTGGCAAATGAAGAAGTCTCAAATTTTTAGTTAAACGCATGACATGTGTATGCTGCCACAAATAGGAAGAATTTATAGATGCATTCACAATATCTTGCCTGGTTCCCTTAGGTATGACAGGTAGGATTTGTCTGAAATCTCCACCAAACACTATTGTCTTTCCACCAAAGGGTATTTCAAGACTTCTTGGGTTTTGAAACCGCAAAATATCACGTAGAGTTCGGTCTAAAGCTTCAAAGCAATGTTTATGCACCATTGGAGCTTCATCCCAAACTATAAGCTTACATTTGACCAGAAGTTCAGCAAGAGCACTACCTTGTTTTATATTGCACGTAGAATCTTCATTGGGATGGATTGGAATCTTAAACCGAGAATGGGCAGTTCGACCTCCTGGGAGCAATAGCGACGCGATTCCACTCGATGCAACATTCAATACTATCTCTCCTCTGGAACGTATAGCAGCAGAAATCTGAAGGATAGCAGCCACAATCTGAAGGATCAGCAGCAAAATAATAAGCCATCTTCATCTTCTACGTGAACCACACCGGCAGAAACGACAATCAATACATTTCCCGATTTCATTTTCGGAGAAATCTGAAGGATCTCAGCCACAATCTTCAACGAATTTGGAGAGATAAGTGTTTTTTCCCCTACTTTGTATAGATTCTGAAGTACTTCCATTATTTTGTAAATCTGCCATCGTTAGTACAAAATGTACGGGAATATGTAAATCTCGTTTTTATTCAGTCTGGTTTGAATAAAAACTCTTATTTTTTAAATCCGAACCATAATACAGAGATGTAACTTCAATTAAACATATTTGACTTCATATGGTTTATTTATTCAATTAAATCCTTATTCATCATCCATATAGTACAAATTTGAACTGTTTTACTAAAATAAAATTTAAATATTGCACTGCATGCTGTGCTCTGACTTTAGAAATCAATTTACGGTCTTACCTTTATCATTGGTGACAGCTACACCTCTTTTTCTCTCAAATTGTGCACTCTTTGTAAGCTTGACCATTTATATTTTTTTCCTAATGGTTCTGCAAAAGTTTGGAGTACCTTAAGGTGTGCAAAATATGCTACATTCAATGAATGAAAGATATAAGCCTCTAAACCATCTAATGCTTTAACAGGTACCTTCACAAATTTTTAAGAAGTGAGAGTATGTAATTTGACCTCAACAATGTGTACAATAAACAGAGATGTATGACAAAACGTAAGTTAACTTTTATGGAAACCGTCTTTTTCAGTTTATGATAAGTGCATCTATCATTCATCAAAATATAGAGTAAACTTATATCTTCTTTCAATTCTAAGTGAAATTATTAAAAGAAAACAACCACACAACTGAACCAACCATTATACATTTACATATGCAATCATTTTCTTTTCAGTAAAATTGTGGAGCTACATTAAAGTATATCATTTTTTTAGCAGGTATGCTATCTTATGGAGCAACATAAGATAGGCAAACTTATGCAGGTACTTAAAATATCCAAACTTGTGCAGCTACTTAAGGTATGCACTTTTCTTTCAACACATTCTTTGCATAAAATTTATCTAAAAGTGACAACTAAATACCTATACAAAGAGGCAACGAATTGCTTGCATAAAAATTTTCATTGTTTACATTTGTTTACCTCCTTCATACGGCAGCAATGACTTGTATACCCTCTACACAGTATGACTTGGGTTCAATCCAGCATGTTTCCATCTCAACCTTTCAAAATGGGGAGTCAAAATGGGAAGTAGTAGGGTTTTGATTGAGCTCTTATTGTCGGCATATGTTTTATATATATAGTGTCACTATGCAAATCATTAATTTAATAATTAAATTATCACAAAGACCAAAGTATTGGGCTTTGAAACATTTCCTGTGAAAGATGTGTAAAAAATGAGCCGTCACTCTTTGTTTTTATACATTCCAAAAAGCATATTATTATTTAACACCTTAAGAAATTCGAAAGGGCACAAATATGTTTTCATTTTCATATCTAGAAATTTTAAAAGGCATATTTATATTTGAAACCTTTGGAAATTTCGAAAGGCACAGACTCTTAAATGAGCCGTAATTTATTTTTGAATATTTAAATGGCTGACTCTTTCTCGAAAAGGCATATTCATATCTAAAATGTTTAGAATTTTTAAAAGGCACAAATTAAGCTTAATAGGGTGTTTGGCAGCACTGTTTTTCGGCTTATCAGGCTTATCAGCCAACTTTTTCACCAAACGCGTAACTTTTACTTTCGCGCGCTGAGTTGTGTAATAAGCATAAAAAGTAAGGTTGAAGTTACACATAATTTTAGCTATTTTTACATATAATTTTGGCTGAAGCCACTGTAGATTACCATTTTAGCTATTTTTACATATAATTTTTTCTTTATTTTATTAATAAAATATATTTTAAAAATAGTTGTTTTTAAAATCAGCAGATTCAGCCAATACAGCCACTTCGGCCAGAACTTAAGAAATTTCAGCAGAATTAACCAAAACAGCCGATTTCAGTGCTGCCAAACGGGCTCTAAATTTAAATATCTCAGAGCCACTTTATAGGAATTTTAAACATCACATATGCAACTGGATATGATCTCGATGCAAGTTTTTAATTGCTAATCACCTATCGTGCAATTAAGAGCCCGTTTGGAGACATCTTTTTTCGGCTTATCAGGCTTATCAGCCAGTTTTTTCACCAAACACGTAGCTTTTACTTTCGCGAGCTGAATTGTGTAATAAGCAGAAAAAGTAAGATCGGAGTTACTTTTCTGGCTGTATTGGCTGAAGTTACTGTAGATGACAATTTTAGCTATTTTTACATTTATTTTTTTCTTACTTTTATTAATAAAATATATTTTTAAAATATTTTTTTCTTAAATCAGCAGAATCAGCCAAAACAGTCACTTCAGCCAGAATTTCATAAATCTCAGCAGAATCAGCCAAAATAGCCCATTTTCATACTACCAAGAGGCCGTTTGGCAACACTGTTTTTCGGCTTATCAGGCTTATCAGCCAACTTTTTCACCAAACACGTAAATTTTGCTTTCGCGCGCTCAATTGTGTAATAAGCAGAAAAAGTAAGGTTGAAGTTACTTTTCTGGCTGTATTGGCTGAAGTTACTGTAGATTACCATTTTAGCTATTTTTACATATAATTTTTTCTTATTTTATTAATAAAATATATTTTATAATTAATTTTTTCTTAAATCAGCAAAATCAGCCAATGCAGCCACTTCAGCCAGAACTTCATAAATTTCAGCAGAATCAGCCAAAACAGCCGACTTTGATGCTACCAAACGGGCTACAAATGGGTTCTAAATGTACGGCCAAACTTATTTCTTCTGTAGAAACTTCAAAAGGCCATTCATTGTTGAACAGTGTTGTTTTGTTGGTATTATCTATACTATGACAAATTTCCCCTAAACCACATATTTTATTATAAATATCATATTAATGCAATAATATTATTTTTTTAAATCCCTAAGATATTTATCATTCTAGCTACCCACGTAATAAATAAATGAGCTGCCACTTCATATCATGCCTAGAAATTGTAAAAGGCATATTTATATCTGAAACTTTTAGAAAGCTCAAAAGGCACAAAAATAGTGGCTGTAACTCACTATGGAATATTTAAATGGCTGACTCCTTCTCTAAAAGGCATATTTATATCCAAAATTTTTAGAAATTTCAAAAGCCACAAAGGTAAATTTTAATATCTCACAACCACTTTATACGAATTATAAATATCACCTATACAACTGGGCATAATCTCGGCCTTAGTCTTTAATTGATAATCACCTTTTATGCAATTAAATGTAAGGCCAGACTTTTTATTCTGTAGAAACTCCAAAAGGCTCATTCGCATGAATACAAAGATTGTGCGGTCAAAAACAAAGAGAAAATAATTTTATAATTAATTTATGTTTTCCACACGTATTTATTCATTAGGTGTAGTTAATAATTTTATAAATATAATTTTTATAATAATGGTTTTACAAATAAAGACACCCCATGTGAAAATAAAATAAATATCTTCACCAAAATTAATTGGCACGGTTTATCATTCAAAACAAAGCCCATATCATATAATAAAACAAATGAGTTCAAAACAAACAGCTCCCAGTTCAAACAAAACAAAAGCATTCAGTTCTAACAAAACATAGAGGTTAAACAAAATATTCTGTAATAGCAAATACAATCTCCCAAACCATCAAATGGTGGGTAATAGCAAATACAATCTGCGAAACAATCAAATGCTTCCACAAACACAACAAAACAATTGTCCAAAACTTGTTGCAAAATAAAACTTAGTTTTTTCTTAGCAAAATCATAAGAGAAATAGCAGTTCATTTCTCCAACTTGACAATCTTTCTCATTTTCTTCGATGAAGAGTTGCATGAGGAATCCCCAATCAAATCCCTCTTCAATTTTTCTCCAGCGCTTGAACTCTTGTGCCCTTCGTTGTTGGCTTTTCCGTGATCAGGAGTAGAAACTTCACCTTGTGAAGAATATGCCTACACCATAGCATAAGCTAAAACTCACATCAAAATGATTATAAGGTAACTTCAGTAATTTACAAATATCAATACCATAATTACCTTTTCACAGTGAGAATCAACATGGTGCATCTTGGATATGAAATCAGATTCCTATATAACATTAATAGAAAAATTATATTACTGTTATAGTATTAATTAAAAAATTGGAAATTAATCAATCTAAACTCAATGGTGAACCTGTTCATCATTCCCATTAACATTGAATTTCTCAATAAGAGCTTCATCTCTTGTGAATTTCATCACACTGAAGGCTGAATTGTAGTTTCCAATTTGTTCCTTCTTAATCTGAACCTTGAATAGCATTGACACATCTACAACGGCCTCTATCTCAGCGGGAACATAACTCTCCTGACGTCCACTCTGATAATAATTAAGCACATTTCGACTAATCAGATGCAGTAACTAAGTTACAACAAAAATACTGGAAAAACGAATGATACTTACGCTTAACATCATGTTTTGACACTCAACTGCGTCCTTTCCAAACATTTCTTGCCCAACGTCATCCCAAATGAGTAAGGGTGCATTTCCAGTAGAGTCGATCACTCGGAGTATCACTTTATACCTATTGCATTTATGCATTAGCCTTGACAACATTTTGATTTTTTTTTTGTGTATTTGAATCATAGTTTCTAAAATATTAATAGAGGGGAATTAAAATCACCTTGGAATACCATCAGAATAAGGTTTATCGCACTTGGTGCAGTAAAATTTGGAACTGGTTTTTTCCAGTTTCTTGCGACATTTAGTGCACGAAAGATACCACCAATTTTTATCGCTTTCAATTGCCACAACCTTTGCAGAAATCCAAAAGCTTCCAACCTAAAATCAATCATTTTTATTTATTAAACAATTTTTAATCCTGTTATGCTGTAAACATTAATCATTCACAACAACAATAGTCTCAAAATTACCTCCTGAATCTCGTATAGTTCTTCTATTGTTTTAAGTGGTTGTTCCAGACTCTCAAGCTCCTCAGAAATGCTCATTTGTCGGTCTGTAGTTACTGAAACAGTGCGTATCGGCTGAGTGAGAACATTCACTTCCTGCAAGCTGTGTAAACACAAAACATGCTATAGTTATATAATTATAATTAACAATAAACACAATCTGGATAAATTCTCAAACCTGTTCTTGAACTCTTGAAACTCAACATCATCTCCATTAATGACAACACGCGTGACATTGTAGTTGGTTGATATTTTTGGTTCACCTTCATTTCCAAATCCAACATCCGTTAATCAGTTTTTCATTTTAACTTACTAATACCAACTACTAATGTGAACCAAAAAAATATAAATTAACATTATTTCAACATTTCAACATTTTCTTCTTCCCAAAACAATGACCTTAGTTTTAAGTGGCAGTTTTATAACAATTTAAAATTTATATGTATTATTTGAGACTCGTATGTATAAACATCAACTTTATAAAGATTGTATGAGACTTTTAATAAGATTATTTTCAAATTCTGCCATTGTCCCTAATGAACTTTCAAAATCTGCCATTTTCCCTAATTAAATATATTTTCAATATACCATTTTTTGCATTATTTTTACTTAACACACTAACCTCTGAATATTCCTGCCCGACAGAACTGTAAAGTCACAATGACCGGTTCAGTCTGATCATCGCCTATATATGGAAGAATTTGATCAACAAAGTTATCCCAAAACGTGCATGACAATTGATTCAACCTGTATTATTTCATAACACTTTCAATTATACATTTGTGCCAAGTAGAAATTAAATATGCACTAAAAAGGTAAACTGTAGAAGAAAAATATTAGGGAACCTTGGATCCTGCAAAGTGACCTCTATCAATCTGTGAGGTCTTCCCTGATACATCACTTCTCGAACCGCTTTCTTTGAAACAACCTGTCCAATAACATCTAGTTTTTTTTTTACATTACATTATTAGAAAGTTTTTATTATACCATAAAATAAAAAAAAATATCTATATTAAAAGTAATGTGCTCACCAAAAAGCTCACTCTCATCAATTATTCTCGCATTCAACAATGATTCAAATCCCTTGAACTTATACACATGGTTAGGAAATGCATCATCCTCGTAATAGATAACCTCTGTCTTTTCATAAAATATCATCTTAAACTTATTATCCGTTGTCCTACACTTCTTTCCATCAATTGCAACAATGAAACGTCGGACAGCATACAAACTTCGCTCCTTAAGAAGTTGTCTATATTTAGCCATCTGCGACATCCTTATCGTAGCATGAATTAGAGCACCCTACAACGAATACAAATTCACAGCTTCATTAGATGGACAGACTCCACCCATAAATAATAATATTCAAATAAAGAACGAAATTATTACCTCCTTATCATGGAATACACATTCCAATCCCCTAATGTCACCGGTGTCGCTTATGTTTTCGTACACACGAAGCAAACGCAGACGAAGTGCCCAATGTGTGTCGCTAGGCGTAATATCCTTCACCAAACCAAACGTTGGAGACATCTTCAAGAAAAAACAAACAAACATTATAAGAAAAATTACATGAACCGTATGAATAATTGGCTGCAAACAGTTCACTCGTTGATTTATTTGACTTGAAGGATGAAAAAGAACTTGATAAAAAAATTACGATGAAATAGATGAATGTTTAGCACAGAGCACTTGTTGGCAAAAAGAAGCTTGTTTGGTAGAGTCACTCGATGGGGTATTTATTTCATGAATTTCATTGGATAGCTGCAAATAGTATTAAATGCTTGAATGTTGTAAACTGTGCAAGAATGAGGATCGGCAAAGCAGGAAGCATTAATTGAACAGCCGCATAATCCTCTCTCTTTGTTTATTTGTAGTCATTCGTATTCTACAATAATTGTAGCTGTATGCATCTTATTAAATATTAATTAAAGTATTCTACACACTATTGCTTACTGTGTCAATGTGTCCATATGTATTCCACACGGATGGGACATCCATTTTTTCAGTAACACTTTTTCCCGCCCAACACCCCCTTGTTCTCCCTCTTTGGGACTTTTGTGTTTTACTATATATAATATAGATATAGATATAGATATCCAACAAGTCATTCGTTTTTTTTTCGAATGTCATCCTCGCCTTGTATATTTTGATCTAACATGACAAAAGTAATTATGTTTCAATGATATTAACAGAAAAACGATAAAAAAAATGATATTAACAGAAAATTGGAGAGCCTGTTTGGTAGCACGAAAATCGGCTGATTTGGTTGATTCAGTTGAAAATTTTGAAGTTCTGGCTGAAATGACATGCATTGTCAACCCTACTATAGGTATCCCGATTGGTACCCCAACCTATTTCTGTGGCTCACAAAAGCCCACCCCAATAAATGAATTGCCTCACTTTAATGAGGTGCTTTTGTGAGCCACAAAAATAGGATGGGGGTCAGTGGCAGAACCAGAACTTTTTTCGAGGAGGTGCTGAGAAATATACTCCCAACAAGCTACTCAAGAACCACATAATCTCCACTCAAAAAACAAAATCACTAGTAGTGTTGAAGGAAATTACCTTTAATGTGTATTCGTTATAGATAGAAAGTATGTCTAGGGTTTTTATATGTATTAAGCTAATTGGCCCATTGGCTCATCTCTTGTACACCCTAGTTTTCTCCTATTTAAAGGAGGCTTGCTTAATGGAATAATACACAACCTTCACTTCCCTACAACACGTTATCAGCACGTTGCTCTAAACCTAAATATTTTCCGCATCCCTTCACTCGGCTATCACCATCCTTAGCCGATCTTTTATCGTCCGCATAATTTTCCTTAGCAAAAAAAAATTAAAAACGTACAAAAAAAATTTAATCTCAAGCCTTAGCCACGTGGAATGTTGAAACATCGGAGTTGACCGATCAAAGACCCGAACCTGACCCGACCCGGTTGGACAGACGGAGACGTGCGCGTGAGGAAATTTCATGCTCACTGTATACGGGTCTCACTGCACAACAAAACTTTTGTGCCCCAAGGGCCAACCTAATAACTAAGGAAAGCTTACATAAAGACACTTCCTTAACTCTTCATACATCTCTTTTCTCTCTGCTCAGCAAACAAGACCACACGGACAACATCACTGGAAGAAACTAGTTGCATACCCCCTCCTAAAATCAACCTGGGGCTGCACCCAGCCGTTTCCCCATCTTTCTTTCCCATCAACACCCCTCCTCAGCGTCTCTTCCCTGAAATGGACTCTTAGAGTCTTACTGTCTGTAGTGATGGTCCCACACGATTCTTAACATATGGGTCTGTCCGTCTGAGGAAAGAATCCTCACTCCAATCAGTGCTCCGGTGTATCTCCGCCGTTTCATCGCCGTCTCCCACGTCCCTTATATATCCGTCAAATTTATGTGCTTCAACGACCGCCTATTAGCCCAATTTTTACATGCATGTATCTCTTTTTCATGAGCCATAGATATACATCCATATATGCACGAGCATAATATACTATCTACTCCGTATTTCAAATTGTGGATAGTAATTTAAGAGAATAAAATTAAAACTCCATAAATCAAATGAATAGGAAAAAATAAATACAGAGTAAGAGAAAATCGGCTCCAGATGCTTCACGGTATGGACTATGGATGGGTATGCTTCAGCCGTTCAGAAAATCGATGTACGACGTGGGGATACGGGAGAAGACCAGAGGGGTAAGTTCGGATATATCTAAATAAAGTATTGGATAAGATCATCGTCAAACTTCAAGTTATTTACAAGATTACCTAAAAGCAGTTAAAAGCATGTATGTGGCTGCTTCTAACTTTTAGCTTAAAAGCACTTAAATTAAGTAGAAGTTTCTCTTTGCAAACACCCATTTAAGCTTTTTTGAGTGGAAAAGTTGAAAAGTGTTTTAAATAAGCATTGGCAAACACTCATTAAATATGCCACTCGAGACCCAAATGGTAACACCCCACTAGGTTCGATTTGGATGTTGAATTGCAAGCAGTGAGAAACGAAGATGTTGGTGTTGCTGCTCTTCAATTCCTTTAACAATGACAATCCCCATTAAAAAACTTACTTAGGGAGTGTTTGCAATTGCTTCAACTTTAAAAAAGTGATTTTTAAAGTGATTTTGGGAAAAGTGATTAATAATAAAAGTTGGTAGTGTTTGAGAAAAAAGTGATCCTGAAAAATTAAAAGTTGGTAGTTTTTGGTAAAATAAGTACTTTTTGTGTAATAGTGTTGGGTGTCGATTTCTTTCCGGCTCAGGTCTCCAACCCTTTTGCTATACTCTCACACACCACCCTAGGCTAGACCACAACACAACTCCAAGCTTCTTCTCTACCACTAAGGTATTCTCTCTCACACTCTCACACAAAGGAAATGGAGAAGAAGAAGAAGGGCACTGCTCTCTCTATAATTCACGCAGGCTGCATTCACAAAGAAGAAGAGAGCTACTAAATAATAGGCTGGCAGACACAAAGGACACTCACAGGTGATGCAAAGACAAGGAGGACTGCAGCGGACAGCTCAAAGGGGTCACTCCACATAAGTCAAAATGGCCATATTATTGGTTAGGAGAGATTCAAATAAAGAGGTGCCAAAGTGGGAGTAAACATGGGGTGCAAGTCAATAATAAAGTGGAAGGGAGGCCTTGGTAGGACCAATACCTCCAACATTCTCCACCTTATTGGTCCTAGGTGGTGTAGAGTAGCAATACAAAGTTGTGAGGAGACTCATCATCGCCGGATTATTACAAGTACATCATTGCGATCATACAAGTAATAGATGAGAACCAAAGTTCCCTTTCGGACCAAGCTTACCGTGCAAACCCACTTCACGATGGACTGAACTCTACCAATCGGTCCTCGAGTTCAGAACCAAAACCATCACAAAACAATTAACAAGCACAACACATGTTAATAGACCACGCAAGCAAGCATCCGGGAGAAGTTGGGGATTCCAACTAATCCAACAACCACACAAAGCAAGTATAAAGAAAATAAAAGAAACAATATTATTTCTATAACTGGCACAGGCGGAGCTCACATAATCACATGGTATCACATTTTCAAAACACAAAGAAAATAGCATACCAAATATCACAAAGATTTTAATTAAAAGAGAATTAAGCACATTTAAAGCAAACTCAGAGGAAATATAGTCAAACACATTGCACATATTATTTCTCACATGCTTCCTAATGTCTCTATCTCTAATAACATGGCAATCACGCAACTCAAGCATATTGCACACAACATTCATATCATGCTCCACCTTAATAGAAATATTATTTTCTTTATTTTCATCATGAAAAACATTTTCATTCACAAATTTGGGTTTGGTTTCAACAAGTAAATCGGAGTGAGATTCAACAGGCAAATGCTCCACCTCATTTGGAGCAACATCAGGAGAAACAAGCAGGAAAGGAAATTCATTTTCAACAAAAATGACATTTCTACTCATCAACACATTGAAGCAAGTTTCACTCCTACACCAAAGCCTATAACCTTTCATGCAATCATGATATCCTAAGAAAACATATTCCTTAGTCCTAGTTTCAGATTTATCATTCACACAATTCACATAAGCAGCACAACCAAACACTCTCAAATTTGGCAAGTTAAGTGGTTTGCCCGTGAACACGGATTCAGGGCATTTCCCTCCTAAGGGAACAGACGGGGACAAATTAATCAAATCAACAGCATAACAAATAGCTTCCCCCCAGAACTTATTAGAGAGCCCAGATGAAGCTAACATAGCCCTCACCCTCTCTAATAAAGTTCTAACCATCCTCTCAGCAACCCCATCCGGTTGGGGTGTGGAGGGAACAGATTTATGCATAGAAATACCCCAAGTATCACATAAATCACCAAGCTGACTATCACAGAAATCAAAACTGACAGTGGTCCTTAAAAAATTAATTTTCTTACCGGTTTGTTTTTCAACAAGGGTTTTCCAGTTTTTAAACTTATCAAAAACTTCAGATTTATTCTCAATCAACAAAACCCACACTTTCTTTGAAAAATCATCAATCAGTGTCAGAAAATAATTTTTCCCACCATGAGTGGAAACACCATAAGGACCCCACAAGTCAGCATGAATACAATCAAGCACATTAGTACACTTAGGCAGATCAGGAAAACCAACTCTAGACTGTTTTCCTAGCACACAGGGTTGCACACAATTCACAGAATCAAGTACGGGTTCAGCATGACAAACATACAAGTTGTTTTTCATCTCAGCTTTGAAAACAGCTAAACAACCCTTCACAACTTTCATGATTCCCTTTCCCCATTTTCCCTTCAAACCCACATTTTCAAGAGAAGCACAAGATAGCAAATTACAGCATAACTCAGGAACATGCCTAACATTCTTCAAAGTAAACACATAACCAGAAGAAAACCTAAGGCACACATCTCCTATTCCTAGCACATTGCATTTCTTCTCATTTGTTAAAGACACAAAGCCATGCTCAATCTCTCTATAGTTTGAAAAAACATTTTTCAAAGGGGACATGTGAAAACTACAACCAGAATCTACC